GGGCGGGCGACCGTGGCCGCTGCCAGACGGCGGCTGCTCGCCGGGAGGAGGTGGAGGCAGGCGGCGCGGAGGGCTGGGCGCCACCGTGGTGAAGTCCGTGCGGTTGTAGTCCATGCACAGCGTGTCAGGGTTGCCCTGCTCCGGGAGCCGGTCGCAGCGCATGCGGTCCGGCCACGCGAAACCGTATTGGCGCATGAGGGGCGCACAGCCGGCCTTGGCGCGCTCGCACACCGAGCGGCAAGGAGGCAGGGGCTTCTTGTAGTCCTCCAGGCAGATGGGCGTGTACATGCTGCACAGGAAGAACTTGAGGTCTGGCGAGCACTGGATCTCCACCAGCGGCCAGAACTGGTGCACTTCGAGGCCCGCCTCATCCTGAGTGTCGTGGTTGAACTGGTTGGGCATGTAGGTGTAGTTGTAGCCGATGCCCTTGCAAAGGGGCACGGTGATCTCCTGGCATGCCAGCTCCTTGGCCGAGGCGGCCGCCGCACCGCTGGAGCGCTGCAGCAGCGCCAAGGCTGCCAGCAACGAGGTCACTTCCAACAGGTAACTCCACTCCATGCTGCGCGCCTCGGCACCGCGCCCTAGCCCTCCAGGCGACTCGCAGAGCGCCAGGGAACCGGCAAGAGAGCGGGAGCCCTGTTGTTCAGTCTCCAGCTACCGGTAACCTTCTCCGAGAGTGTCCGCACTGCGCAGTCCCAAGCCTGGGCAGTGGCGGTCCGTACCTCCCTTCCGCCGCTCCAGGGAGATAAGGGTGGCTGCAGTCGTGCACCACAGTCCCGCCAGGGCCTGCCTGGCTAACTCCTAGCCGATCTCAGCCCTCGCGGCTCATCGTTCCTCACTCGCTGGCTTTCTCCCCAGTGCGTCCAGCCACTTCGCGCGGCGCTGGAGACGGTGACTTCGCCGGGCGCAGTGGGTGGTGGTGTAGCAAGTTTCCTTTCGGGCCGCGGTGCGCAGTCAAGATGGCTGGGCCAGGCCGCTGCCCGCGCCAGGTCAGCCTTTGCGGCCCCCTATTAGCCCCCGAGGGCTCATGCCCGCCCCTCAAGCCGCGCTGCCACCGCGGGAGTTAGAGACCCGCCTTCGCTGAGGCCGCCGCCCTCTTTCTCCGCGCGTGGGTCGCTCGGTCAGTCGCTGGGACTGACGGGCCCCGCCTCTGATAAAAGTCCGCGCCACGCTCCGGCCAGCAATCGGGCAAAGTGTAGGCAGGTCCGTCGTAGCTAAACACAAAATCAAATCCGAATAGAAGGCGGAGTAGACACACCTGAGCCGCGCAGATCGCACCCAGCCGCCGCCGTCTCCGCGGGAGCAGCGCCCTTCACCCAACTTCCCGGCTACAGCCCCTCTCGCGCAGTCTGGCTGGCTCATGAATATTTATATAGAGCGGACTCGGTCTCCGCCCTTGGCCCGGCGCCTCCAATCGCCGGGCGAAGGGGAGGGGTCTGCGCGCTCCCAAGGCTCTGCCTTCCTTAAGGCGGCGCGGGGAGTCTGTCCAACCCTGTGAGCTTTCTGCTGTTGGAGTTTTGGTAACCTTGGGATTGACCGCAGAGAGAGAGCTTCAGCCACGACTGTACCCTTGGCGCGTATTGCGCCTGAGGTCTTGGTTCCATTTTCCCGAGTGTTTGCTTGAGGTCTGGGACAGAGTTTTATACAGCGTGCGCCTTCCCAGGTCCGTTTCAAATAAGTCAAATCCCTGCCTGCTACTACGCCCTAATGTGTGTGACCTGCTGGCTATGGGTATCCCCGTGTCCATCTTCTAGCCGGGATGGCGGGGAAACCCAGAATGCGCAGACCTGCCCCGGGCTGGTCTCGGCGGGAGATCAGAGATGGGGTGCCTTACCTGGGGTTCTCAGAAGCATAGTCTTTGAGGTTTGGAAATGTGGGAGGAATGTTGCAAGGGCGGTTCATTCTGGATGGTGGGTCTGAGCCGGAGGCGACCCAGGAGCCGGGCCGCAGGAGCCTAGGGGAGCACGGTGCAAAGGCATTTCCCGCCCGCGCTGAGTGGGCCTCGTATTCCTTACCTGACTATTTGGTATTCCTTACCTGGCTAGTAATAGTACAGATCTCAAAAAAGGGTTCCGATAAATAGGTGAGAAAAATATATAAAGCGTGCAGGACACAGTGTTTCCTTATTTAAAAAATGTTTCTTTTCTCCTAGAAAGAAAAAGATAGAAAGGAAAACTTATAAATAGGACAGACTAGAAACTGCCACTGGATTCTTCCTCTTCTCCTCCTACACTTGGAACATATACCTCTGTCCAAAGTTCACATGTTTTTGCCAGAACCTCTTTTTTTTTTTTTTTTTACTGTGGGAGGCGGGGCTGAGCCCTGGCGCCTACTTGCCGACACGTATCAGTGGTCTGCGCAGAGCGCTGGGTATTGGAGTTACGTTTAGCAGCTACTTGGGACGCCGCCAGCGTGAGCTACCCCCGCCAGCTTCACAGCCACCTTAAGACAGGGTGGGGGTAAAGCGGAGGCCGGAGGGGACGGAGCCTGGCAGGTTCATTTACGCTTGTTAGGACGTCCCAGGGGGTTGTCTTTCTCCTAGAATGGAGTGTTTATTTTTTAATTGATGTGCTGTTTCATTTAGCGCTTGTATGGAACTCATGCTGGGGCTGTAATTACTGTAATCTCGGGAACAAGCATTTCAGTTAGCCAGGAGGGTGGCAAAATAGTGTTCTCACGTCCCCTCCCCCCAAATCTGTTTCAGAATTTTTGCTGTTTGTCAGGTTTCATTGCTGGAATGAGGGTGGCTAGAGAACAAAGTTGTTGAGGATCTCTGGGAGGAAAGAGAAAAAGAATTAAAGGTGCATTTGATACCAGTTCAGTGTTGGGGGTGTTGGTGGTGATAGGTGATGGTTATCTGTTTAAAAGCAACTCTTGTAATGAAACAAAAATAACGGGCAGCATATGTATAATTCTTGAGCTAATAGACTTCCTCTTTCTGTTTTCTCTAGCTTACTTTAGCAATCTCATTTTGCACCACATTCTAAATAGACAGACAACCCGCTGCCCCCCACACACTTCAGCTAATACCTACCCCCCCACCGCTTTTTTTTTTTTTTAAGCAAGTTCTTCATTTTCACCAAGAACTCTAAGCATAGACACCCGGTTGTACTTAAACCCCCAACGTCCTTTTTTTTTTTTTAATTGAAATCTAGTTAGAAAATCATTATACTGAAAAACAACACTTCCTCCCCACGTTTGTTTTGGAAAACTAAACTCCATAGGAAACAGACATTCAAAGGCTTCAGAAATAGTAGCTGATTCAACAGAAAGTGGTCTCTATCCAAAAATGCAGACTGGACCTTTATTTGGTCTTTTATTCCATTCCTTCTTCCCCACCGTACCCCTTTTTCCTAATACGATTTTCCTTTTATGGCTTGTGAATGTAGAAAGTCATCTGTCTTTGGGGGGTTGGGGAGGGAGGGTGTGCCTTGTTATAGAGTTGCATTCTTCAGAACATTTCAGGTGCAGAATAATAACAGGTAATTCCCAGAGTTAGAGTTCTGAGCAGTGTGATGAAGGCAAATCCTTACTAGCCTAATCATTGCATTGCTAGACCACAGATGGGAGGGGTGAGTTTCCAAAAGCAACACAAATGGTGAAAACTTTCTACTGCTTTTCTTCTGGAAATGTCAAATAGTAAAGTTAGAATAACATTATGTAAATTTACTAAAATTAGGTAAAAGAAAACTGACATTTGAAAATTGAGTCTGAAAATAGTTGATTTTGGCTTTTAATGGCATTTAATTTTTTATTTTTTTCTTTTGAGACAAGATGAAAGCTTTGATGATGTGGAATGTGGAAATTTTTGGTAAATGTATTTAGCTTGCAGGCAAAAATAAGCAGACAAAAGTTTAGAGCTTTCAAAAATCATGAGGAATGATTTTTGAGGTAATCTAACTGATTTGTGAGATTAAAACTATTTATATAAAAATCATCAAAATTTACTTTTTATTTAAAGATTTATTTACTTATGCATACATACTGGGGTTCAGGCCAGAGGTGTGGAGGTGAGCAGATTTACCAGAGACAGAGTGGGGAACAGCACAGACAGATCACTGAGCTACATTGCTGAGGGGAGCAGTGGGTGGGGATAGGAGAGGTCTGCCACACCACATGGGTCACCTCGTTGGTGGGGAATCGAACTCCTGTCTCAGTGACTGCGGATAACTACACATGCTGTGCTTTAACCTATTGCTCCACCAGGGAAGGCCCAAAACTTACTTCTTAATGGCAAGAATTTAAGAATAGCACTTAAGATTTAATTTCAAAATTAATGGCTATCTTTAGAAGCAAGAGACAATAAAAGACAATGAGCAATAATAATGTCAGTAATAAAACTTTGTGTTTTTCGTATGTAAAATTGTTGTTATTGAGGGAAGGGGAAATAGCTTCAGTAGTGACATAAATAATGTAGGAAACCTTCTAAAGGGATTTCTGAACAGATGTCTTATTACCAAATATCCTACAAGTATAATAATATAAACAGTGGAAGATGGGAATCTAACTTAGAGGAGGGGATGTTTTACAAAACATTGGTCATCATCCAAACATTAGATACCAAAGGAACTATCAATACATCGTATATCTCAGAGTTAAGAAACTTTGGGAAAATATTTCAATAGGTTACAGTTTAAAATTCCAACATAAAAATCTTGATACAAGAATGAGTCTAATATCTAATGATTTGTTCCAAAGATTAAGCAGAGACCTCTAATACCCAATGAAATTTCTCAGGTATTATACAAAACAATTTTTTTCTCCTAAAAGCTTCTTTTCTTTCAGAAAGACATCAGGATTTTATTGTGAGAAAATATAAAACTTTATAAGGTTATATTGGAATTTCTTAGTGATTTAAAGTCTTTCACAAAACTAAATGGAACAAAACCTAAAAATAATAGGAAGTGGGACTGCCACAGGAATAGAGTGGGGTGCAACACGGAGGGTGTGCCGAGTGGGCTATGATGGAGAGTTATTAGTGCTTTGGTGATGGAGTCTTCATGGAAATATTTGAAGAGGGGTAAACCTATATTCCCAAAATATATACAGTATTGTAAACCAGTATTACCTCAATAAAGCAATGTAAAAAAAAAAAAAGGAAATAAAATCTGCCTTTCAAAGGATTATGTCTTTAGTCATCCACTCCATAAATAGAAAGTAAGGTAGATGTCAACTAATCTTGCTTGGATTTCCATTCATTAGAATTAAAATAGGTGAGATTATTTCTTTAGTCTTCCATATTAACAGAGATGCTATTAAAATGCTTTCCTCATCCATTTACTCTACAATTAGGAAAAGAATCCTATGACAAGGAAGTTTTCTTTGTTGCGTCTGCTGTACACAGGTAACAGGGCCAAGTTTTGAATGATGAAAACAAGTGAGGCCAATATGTGCCACTGGGCAGGAATCAGATTCTCACTTTACACGCAGCTGGTAGTGGGGATTGGTCACTGCACTATCATTGAATCTTACATTTATAGAATAGTTTTTTTAATTTTCAAATATATTCACTATATCATCCTTCGTTTTTGTACAATGTATGGTTCCTCCGTGAAATTCCCACCACCAGTTCACCTGTGCATCATCACCATAATCCCTTGTGTTCTTCCCACCCCTGTCCTGGTCCTTCTCCCTCCTCTTCTCCTATAGACTATCTCTCCTCTACAGTTGCCTGATGATTTTGATTTTTACTTTTAAAATATATTTTTTAAATCAGTAATTGACTTTGTTTTTTCTTATTCACATTGGGATATTGGTCAGATATTGAAACTCTGATGATTTAGGATGCACAATACACTAGTTTGGGGATTCTCAGTTGCAATGAGACCTCCTAGTTAAAAGTGGTTGAGTCAAGGAAGACACTTAATTACGCTCATAAATCAACTGGTCTAGAAGCAAGAAGTTCCACCATTGGCTTATTCTATGTCTCAGTGAGGGCTTCCCTTTTGATCACATGGGACCTCTCAGTGTGCGATCATCCCATTTCACAGGAGAACTGCCAGAAGAGAAGAGTGGCAGATCTCCTCATGTGCAGCTACTGGGGGGGAAATAACAGCCTTCCCCAAAGGTCTTTGAAGAACTACTCCGTAGTTCACATTGGTTTGACAATGTCTTAACACTTTTGACAGCAACAGAAGCTGTGCAGGTAAGGACAGGTGGGACAGGTAAGTTCTCCGAGGACACTGGAGAAAGGAAGGAGAACGGCTAGCGGGCACAGACAACAGCCAGCCACCTTGAACTGTTTGAACTAACTTCCTAGCAATTCTGTTTGGCCAGCATGCCTAGTCTTTCAGAGTATTTTCTTAAGTATGATTTTGATCCAAGAAAACC